AGAAGCACAATAGTCTAAAGGAGATATTTCATGCAAAAGCAATTCTCTAATCTAAAACCTTTTGAATCATCTGGATACATATAACCACCTGTATAAATGCAACATGAAATGAATTATGCTAATATTTATTACAACATAAATAAAGACATTTTAAATAAATTTATATTAATAAAAACTGTCACTGCTTAAAGAGACATTCATAAATTAAAATATAAAGAAACATAATAAGATATGAATCTGCACTTTAATATTTTGATACATTTAAATATATTTACAAATTTAATTATAAATTTAATTATAATCTAATTACATTACGCGTTAGGTATGTAAAGATAATATAAAATAATGTTAAAGGTACATAAACAAAAACATATTGTTTTAGATATTAATATGTAAGAGACAATCATAAATTAAGACTTCCATTTTGTAACTCTTTAATGACACCAACACTATTACAGAATAAGGTCCTAAGACATAGAGAAACATGAATAAACTATATAAATGAGATTTTTACTTTGATATTTTGATACGTCCAAATATATTTATAAGTCATAGTGCATAATTATAATCTAGTGTATAATTATAATTATATTATGTTACAGTATGTCCGTAGAGATAATAATCTCGAAAGCACATAAGTAAAAAAAATAATATTTTAGGTAATATGTAACATGTGAATTATCATAATTTAGAAGTAGAAATCTAAAGCCTATTCTGTAATTGCGTAAGCATAGTTGTAATTGAATGTAATTGTAAAGCATAATCTACAATTGTTTAAATGTAGTTGCAAGTGTCGTGGTTGTAAAAATTCTCCAATTACAATTGAACATTCTCCTTGTATTTAACTGTAAATTCTCCAACAGTCAATTTTTGCAAATACAATCACAACTACGTTTATGCAATTGTAGATTGTGGGCTTGAAAGCTCACTCTACATTTGTATAGATGTAGTTGTAACTGTAAGAATTGACCAATCACAGTCGAATGTGAGAAGAATATTCAATTGTGATGGATCAATTCTTACAACTACAATTTATGATTATGCAATTGTAGAATAGGCTTAAAAATACAAGAATATATTGCTTCTTTTAAGGCACTCAGCTAAACAATTAGTTAACATTTAATATAAATATAGCAATATTACAAATCAACCTTATTAATCACAATCATGTTTCAACATCAACAGGTGTGTTATGGCAATTAAAATCTGTATTATCATTCCTAATAGTCATTGCTATAACAAATAAAATCAAAAGTTTGAAAAATATCTAAAAGGCATCTGAAAGACTAGAATTTTCCAAAAATCTTTAGATTTGTTTGCGTTGCTTACAATGTTTGCACTGAGAACTTTTTTTGCTTTCTCTCTTTTCAGCGTCTGACTATACCTATAATCATCTCGTTTGAAGTGTAAAAAAATTTTTTCGAGAAACTTCGAGAGAAAAAGAAATTTCGAGAATTTTCGAAAGAGAAATCTCGAACAACGCAAACAGACCTTTTATAACATCCTACAGTCCTCTGGCAAGCTGCAGCAAAAAGCACAGGCTCGAAATAGAAAACAATCCATCTAACATCTAACACCATAGGTACAAAAATGGAAAGTAATGAAAGTCTACCTTAGTGAAATAAAATCAGCAGGAGAATGAGTGAAGAGGAAAGGAAGAAATAGATAGAGCGTACATTCGAAGAGGTTGTAGAAACATGTTACCTCTTCCCGGCGCTTAAGCCACCGCCCGCACGGGCTCTCTTCCAGGATCTCGCTCTCATCCTCCGAGTCTTCACCACTTTCCCGCGGTGACTTGTGCTCTGGGTCCGTGCTGGAGCGGCTCCCGGGCATCACACACGCTTGCGATTAGTTAGAGAGGCAGCAGCGAACAGCAGGCCAAACTCATCGGTGACGATCTCCAGTGCGGTGTACTCTTCTAATCTTGTATTGGGCAACACGCCACGACAACAACCGGCGATGTACTGGCTCGTGGGATGAGCGGATGCACACGGAGAGCAGCGGCGGCGGCAGTGTCGGCGTTGTCGATGTCGGAGCTACAGCGGTAGCGGCGGCTACGACAACAGCAGCAGCAGCAGCGACGACAGCGACGGCGACGACGGCGGTGACGACAAGAGCAACGACGATGACAACGATGACAACGACAACAAGAACAACGACGACGACGACGACGACGACGGCGACGACGACGTCGACGACGACGACGACGGCGACGACGACGGCGGCGGCGGCGACGACGACGACGACGACGACGGCGACGACGACGACGGCGACGATAACGACGACGGCGGCAGCGGAGGTAGTGGTGGCGACGGCGGCGGCGATGGCAACAATGGCAACAACAACAATAATAACAATAACAAAGTCGCGTTACTCGTGCGTAACAACGCGTAGGTAGATACTACGTGTCCCTGGTTCGCACTGCACTCACAAGTGACACATGCAGGTGCACGCAGCGTGCCCGCTCGTCTCTAACTGGCTGAGACCCGGAGCGGCGATATTTCTGATCTTACGCGACGGACGCGCGCTACTCGACGCTACTCGGCTTCGCTCAGGGACGCGCCGCGGTGATACACATCGCGCTAGCCGCCCGCGTATCGCACTGTCAAAATAAAACCTCCCTATTGCGAGCAAAATTGCCTCGATATGACACACACTCTGGCACTCATTTTCGTTATGTCTTCGGTCACGTTCGCCCACCCGAACGGCCAAAGTGATCCACCTTTCGGCTGTGAACGTGACGCCACCTGTCGAAGTGCGTTTGAAAGCATTGCCAAGTGCCTCCGGGTATTATTTTATCCTTGTTGTTCACCGAATGTTAAACGAAGATAAAATAATACTTGGAGGAATGTTTTTGAACGCAACCTCAACCGACAACGCCCCCAAAGCGACATGCGCGTACGCGATTGGACGGTACTCAGCTGAGCAGACCAGTCGCCTGATGCCTATAGTTATCGAAGATAGTGCGACTCTTTTATGGTTTGAGACTTTAGTTCGTGCTGGAGCGATCTTCAAATAGGATATCGATGTTGATATGCTCTTTTTAATCGCTTTTTTTTTCACCTTTCCATCTTTTTTTCACGTTTTCTCGATATATCTTAAATGCAACAAAACATAGTAAAATGTATTAAACAGCTGACTGGGTGTAGACGTTGAATTTGTTTATTTTCTTACCTTCTTTATATTTTTTTTTGTCTTAAATATTTCTTTTAAATCTTTAACAATTATTCGACATGTAGTGATATAAAATATTGTTGATTATGGCAATTTCGAAATATTATTATGAAGTAGGAATAAGAAAAAGAAAAGAAAAATTTTAAGAAAAATTAAAATATTTTTTAAAAATGATTTATTACATAAAAGTATCTTTTAAAGATAAATCTCGTTACAAATATAAACAGTATAGAGAATATATGTAATGTACGTATTGTACTGTTAATAAAAAGAACAAGTCATTTAAAGCCATTCGTTCGATAATCGATATCTAATGTTACAGTTTACGAGTATACCAATTACTCATTTCTTTCTAGAAGTATTAATTAGTAATATCGATTTCATTGAAGATAAACCAAAAAAATAGGAACTTCTGATTTACTCGAAGAAATAAAGGCATATAATGATTATTACGGTTCTATAGAAATTTATTATGAATGACACTTATAAGAAGTCGACAGAAGTCGATTTCAACGTCATTTGGTATCGATACTTATCGCATCTCATCTTGATAATTAATATATGTGCTTTGTTTCTTTTTATTAGATAAATTGGAATTTCTCATTCTTTAATGACTTCTCCTTTCCTTATCGAAGATTACTGACAATTTCTGTCATATCTTGCTAATATATACGATGACTCATTCTCGCATTTGTCATGAAATAAATTCGCCGATGTGGTTATGTTTGTTTCCATGTTCAGGATTTCGTGCGATACGACGCATTCGGAGAAATAGTCTGTCTAACTTAAATTTGTCGCTTCGTCTCGATAACATATATGAAAAATAAGCGCGCTTAGATAAATTCTATTAATATCTTGTTGATAAAATTGCGAGAAATATATCAATAATAGACGCATTCGGCATTGCAAATCAGAGACGTCCGTTTGCTCTTCTACCTCGAAAATCGTTCGGCATCTTTCTGCTAGATTCATCTCATCTACGTTCGGTATTAACATTTCTAGAGCTGCTCGATTCACTCCGGATTCAAAGACCGAGCTCGCAGAGCTAATGCAGATTTTCGCGCCTAAATTAAATTCATAACCTGTATATTTATGATAATGTATTCAATCACCGACCAGATACTATTAAAGACCGACATCCTTACGGGAGTTCGCGTCCTTGTGAATATTGTAAGTAATTAAGAGTTAAAAACTGATAATATTGTATTAATTTTATGATTTATTAGTTTAGTAAACGTATTTATGCATTTAGTATTCAATAATACTCGATTTTTCTTTAAAATTGTAATTTCAGTGTTATCGTCAAAGTTTGATTATCAACAGAGATGATAATTGCAGAGAAAAAATTGTAATTTTTCTGCAATATATAAGATATTATAGCTTTACAAGTATGCATATTTATTTATGAAACATTTATATAATAAAAAACCATGGATTTAATAATGTATGAGCCAAATATTTATGTTAATAATAGCAAATTTATATCAATTATCGATAATGTCAGCATTCTTCAATTATCTCCGGGCCCTTGGGGCCCTTTTTATACAGCCGAAAATTTACCCAGGGTTGACGGTCTTTAATAGTATCTCGTCGGTGATTCAATTGATCCGTTAACACATAAGGTACATTCATCTCTTTTAATACTTCCATTTTACAAATAGTGTAGTTGAACTACTCGTATTATAATCTCTGAGTCTACAAACGCTTAAATTTATAAAAATAATTTAATTTTATAATCTAATCTTAAAGGACAATTTACAGCTCTGTAGCATTCGAATTGCTCGAAGATCACGTGATCAAGTTCGCCATCTTCTAGCTCGCATCTCAGATTTACATTGCCGTATCTAATATCACAATTTTGTGCGTAGCCGATTTTTAGAGTGAATGACTGAATAAATATCATATATTAAGTGCATTATTGTATGTCTGCATTCTTTATTAATTGACAATTTTGCCATAAGCATAATTATTGTATAAAGTACGTAGTGTATTTTATTCAACGATGTCATATGTAAAAACATTACCTTTGCTAGATGGAACAAAAGTAATTGTTGTAGATGAAGGTTAGTTATTTCCCCTTATAGAAATATAGAATACGTTATCTAACAATAATAGATTGTACAAATTAATCTATATGATATATATATACTTAATCTATATATTTTTGTAAAAAGTGCTGATTTGTCTGTATTTTATAGATATAGAAACAGAATATGCACAAGCATTGATAGCTGGATGGATACCCGCATGGAAGGAAAAGAGTCCTGATTATAGTATTGATTTGTTGTCATTTGTGCATCCAACAATTTTTTATAACTTTGAACCACTTACACCCGCAAAAGTAACCATATATGATTATTTTAGTGTTAAGCCGACTGAAAGCGTCGAGAAAAAAGACTCTGAAAATCTTCGTCATATACTAAAAAATTTCAAGATAAAACCTCAGAATACAGTTATTGTCAACTCTCTGGGTTCCTTGGTTGCGTATAAAGGTTTAAAAAAGGCTATTAGATTTATAGAGAAATTAAGTAAACAGGTGTCACAATTGATATGCATTTATCAGAGGGATTTTATGAAAGTACCTGCAATACAGACTTTTGGCACAACCTATGTCAAGCTAGAAAAGTTTAAAGGAAAAAACAGCTCTACAGACCATATAATGTATATTGCACAGCTCACTCATAGAAAGTCTGGTGGTTCTGTAATATGTCAAACAGAAATAATAAAGCAAGATATTGAATCTTATCAAATCACTGTTGAAAAGGTTACAGTACCAAGCGTTTGCAAAACAGAAACAGAACCTGTAAAGGTTGAAACGTCATTTAAAATAGAAATGAGTGCTCAGGAAATGGAACAAAGAGACAAGACACCTTTACCTTATACTTTGAATGCACCGAATACATCAAAGATATTTTATCAACCTGAAAATGAAGACGATATAGATGAAGAAGATCCTGATGATGATTTGTGTATATAAGTTTATAAAGATCAAAAAGAATTTGTATGAAGACTAAAACATGTTTTACATTTAAAATAATTTGACGTATAAATACATAAACAAAAGTTTGTTATGTGTATATTTTATACATTTTATTGTAGGATAAATTTTTTTTCGAATTATAAAGGTAGATTTTTAGAGAGAGATATACAAAATTATATGGATTAGAGTGAGAAGCAGAAAGAAAATTATTACAAATTGTATTAGTAATAAAATAAAATTGTATTGAAAAATGGCAAATTAAAAATAAATGTGTTACAATTAAGTATAATACATTATATTAAAGTTATCAATTTATTCAGATAAATCTGACTTTTCTAGTAATTTAGAATCACTTCCAAAATAACTTAAATTTGCTTAAAAAATATTAATTTCTTGGAATCTCTTGCTATAATATTTTTAATTCGCGAATTTTTAGACAATCAATATTTTATGTACAGTATATTTTACATGCAAAACTTCAGAAGAAAGGTGATCATTTTATACATTAATAAGAAATTGCACTTTTAATATTGTCGTGTATTTATAAATTATTTTACATAGCATTTATAATAATTTATTTTAATAAGTAAAATAATAAATTAATTCAATATAAAAAAAATATAAAATCATATGATACAAATTTAGAATAAACCTTTAGAACATTTTAATTTGTTTGCAATTCTTACAAAGAATTCCGCTCGATATAAGTAATATTGCCAAGACGATTTAAATATTTCCTATATCATTTCTTTGGTTTCTTTATTGTACGTTCATTATTTCGATTATACTTATATCTAGAGTCCAGAACTTTTATCGAAACTGAAAATGAACACTCATTACATTGCCAGTTTTGACTGAAACCATATAGCTCTTTTCATAAATATTAATTTTAATATGTGTCATTATTGTTTCCATTCACTATTTGTCAGCTTAACCAGATTCTCCACACGGTCTTCCAACCGTCATATGAACAGCTATAATTATAAGAGAGACTAGAAACATAATTTATCAAAAAACAGTCTATTTTAAAAAGATGAAATCGTATATGCAACTAGATTTATTGCATTTCTGAACAAGGGCTCGAACAAGTAGCCGAAACATGTCAAGAGTTTGAATTTATGAAATTAGCTTTGAACAACAATTATGTAATTATCATTAGAATATATAAATTAATTTACGCAACAAATCCTGCGGTTATAGCTCTTTATTACTCTGTTAATTTATACTATTATAATTATAGTTTCAATAATTAAATTATGATGTTTATGAAGGCTGCATTCCGAAACGTCGCTCGGATGATATAAATTAAATGTTACACAAGGACAGATGATGAATTCGAGGCATCGGAGGCATCCAAACGACGTTTCTAAACACAGCCGAAAAAATACTTATATTCTTTGGCTAAAATTGATACAACCGAAATTTCGGTTTTCGATTTTGACCGAAATTTAATTATTGTTTCAAAAAATTATGATATTTATGAAGAAAAAGCGTATGATATATGGAGGTATATGTCTATACATGTGACTTTTATGAGATTTCTATTTTTTAATTTTTTGGTTTCGGTTTTACTTGAAATTGATATGTAGTCAAGTATTTCGATTCAGTTTGGACAAAAGTTTCAGTTCGACTCTATTTATGTCACATGCTTAATTAAATGTATAATAAATAATTAAGATCTTTATAAAAATAGCTTTTTTTAATATTAAAACAATACTTCAATTGTTGAACTATGCAATGAGAATGCAATATGTCGTACTAAACACAGCCTTTACTCATTTTAAACAGTCACAGTAAAATAGTAAACTTTACCTCTAATACTGATGCTGCTCTTCAATAAAAATAGTAGGAATATGTCACTATATATTGTGCAATGTAAATTTATCGCGTTTTATTAATGTAAATATTTAAGATGCTATTTTCATCGATAAAATTCTCACAGAGATAAATCAAGAGATATTTTCTATTAATGTAATCATCGTTATATAAACGTGGCATCACACATATAATCATACTAACATAAAACTATACAATAATTAAAACTTAGTTGGCCAATTAATTTGTGTGCTCATTTTTGAAAAATTATAAATATTATATTAGAACGTAAAATATATATAATCAAATCTCTAACCGAAAAAACATTACAATACGGTTAAAGAATTAACCCATGCTATAAGTAATCTATATTTCAGTATAAATATTAATTTTTGTATGTCAATTAATATTATTTTGTTTATTGATAAAATAATAAGATAAAATAGAATCATGCTGTGATATATAAGTTGAAAATAAAACAAGATTAAGTAAAAAACTAACAATGCAAAACAAAAAGAGAAGAAAAAGATTGAAAAAAATTTCAAAAAATATAGCTATAGATATAGTGGTGTCAGAATTAAATAATGTTAACATAGACAATAGGAGCGCTACAAATATTACAGTAAAATTATGGATACTTCACAAACAAAAGCAATTTGTTAAAAAAATTCAATAAGAAAAAAGAAGTTATAGATACACATAGACTTGATTTTATAAATTTCTATTTTGCACATATTAAAATATTAATAATATTGGAAACCTATATTTTAAATTTAAATCAAACTGCTTTGCGTATAATGTATGATGTAGCAGATAGAATGATGACGTCTCGAGGAAATGTAAATATATCAAGCGAGTTAAAGTTACTGATCATAAAAAAAGGAGAATACAGTTAAATTCGCTACCAGAGTCTTCTCCTTTTCTTTCTCTTTCTAAATCAAATACAAATTCATACAAAGGAAAGGCATCAAAAAGGATGCCTGATCTGGAAATAAAAAAAAACAAACAAAAAAATAAACAATAAAGTCAAGAAAATAAACTAAAAATAAACTAAATCAAACGAGGAAGTACATTAACTTAAAAAACGAGCGAATTTGAAAACCAAGAATGAATAGATTGCACAAACTAAATGAATAAGGAACACAGAGATTTGTTTATATTTTATAAATTATTATAATTTTCATTATAATCTTTCTTATTTTTCCACTCAAATATTCATTATTTAAAATGAATATTTGTATATGAATATGAATGAAATTATCTAATCGGAAAAATTTCATCGGATTATTCGAAAATTGAATTATGCGTTAAACGTATATAGAAGATTCTCGTCATAAAAATGACGTGTACCATCAACATGTTGCAGAACCCTACTCTCCAACAAACAGCGACCATAACGCACAGCATCTTCTCGGTTATCAACAATGCCAACTTCGAGCAACCAGTTGACCAAATCTGTTCCCGAAAAGACTCCTCTGTATACCCTCAATAATCGCCTACGGCACATAGATATGCGTGCTCGACAGGCATCTAAATGACATCGACTAAATTGTTCTCGAATCTCTTTTACTTCTGAACTGAGAGCTTCCTCACAAGGAAGTTGTAATTCTTTTCCTAAATTACAAAATATTATTAAACGTATATGTATAAAATCAATCAATAATATATGAAATATACATCATGAAAGTACTGTACCAGATTGCCATTTTCTGCACATTTTTCGAAGCCAACATCCTAATTTACCCAAACTAGGATCTAATCCAAAAATTGCGAACGCTATTAATGATTGTCCAAAGTTCAAAGTCACATCTAAGAATGCAAGCTCGGCATAAATGCCAGTTAACTGTTCCATTATTAATGTTCCCACGGATATCGATAAGCCCTATAATATATCAAAATTAGTTTTACAACTTGATAATGTCCAAGTAAAGAAAATAATAATTTACGTACTATAAACATGGAACATAACAGCAGAATTAGAAAAACCGCATGTCGCAAAATCTGAGGATCATCATCTGCGTTTGTCCCATTTTCTTCCTCACAGCCATCTCCATTAGCTCTACACGCTTCATTCGAACAACCATTTTGAAATTCACAACCAATTCTAAAAGTTTTTAAATCAACATTAATTAAAAATATAAATTTCTTTATAGTTACGTACCCCCTTACTTGGAGTTAACTTGGGGTTAACTTACATAGATGTTGAATTAATTAATGGAGACACTAAATCTTCCACATCTACTATGGTTCTTTCATTATTTTCGGTTGTAGAATTTTGTACATTGTTCCTTAAATGCTCATATGACATCATATTATGCATTCTTTGATATCTTTGTTGTAAGATCAAACAACCTAATGTCACTATGTGCAAAAATGATTATTATAAAGTTTGTATAAAGTAAACGTCCCAGTAACCGGACATATACATACCTATGTTCAGACATTTACACAAAACTTTATATTTATTTAAATTATTATTAATTCCAAATATTTTTTAAAATATTGTAATTTAATTGTAATCTTTAAATACAATCATAATATTATAATAAAAAAAGCGTTTGAGATTAATAATAAATTTTGTGTAAGTATCCGGAAATAATATATACTATATACATGTCCAGTCACTGAGATGTTTATCATATAAGATTTTAAATACGACTATCTACAATTATGTAAAATTATAATTTGAATATAGTAATTTTGTTTTTGTGTGTGTGTGTGTGTGTGTGTGTGTGTGTGTGTGTGTGTGTGTGTGT